CTTCTGAATTAGTAAAAAATATTGACCATTTTATTTAGTTATTTCAATCTACTCTTTTTAGTCTCCTGGTGCCCAAGAGGATGATCCAGATCCTGATGATAATAGAAGCATGAAAAGAAGAATCTCGTTCACCCCAGATATACCTACAGGTTAGTAAAGATTTGCAAGGCATGCACAGTTATTAGAAATGTGCTCTTTATTATTGTTTTTTTTTTAAGAATCTGTGATCTATGTGGAATATGCCCTGTTGTTTTCCCCACTGACTTCTTGATTATTTTCCCCCAGAGGAAAACAAGGAAGCAGATAAAGATATTCAAAATGAGAGAGGCTCTAACTCCTGCCTGAAAAGGTGCTCAGTGGCCCTGGGTTCTTCCTCACTCAGTGTTCCAGTGCTGGACTCAGACCTTATTGTGAGAGACGCCATAGACAGAAAACCCTCTATAGAAGGTAGGATAACCTATTTATAACTGTAGTGCAGAAATAATTTCACCTGCAAGCTATTTCTGAGAATTTACTGGGTTCGAAGTGGATATGACCTTAAAGATGAATGTGGTGTGTGATTTTAAAAAATTACTTTGACCTCCCAATTTTTTTGACAAATGTCTTGGCATTGATTTTTTTTTTTTTTATCTTTTTATTTTTCCAGGAAGTCAGACTTTCTTGTGATCTTTTACAATTGTATTGATCATTTGTTCTCTAGGTTTTCTGAAGGTTCCCAGAGCTTTTCTTTGGACTCACTAATTGCTTGTCTGGTTTTCACATCAGAACATGACAGCTGATTGTGCAGTGTGTGCTTAAAAACTGAAGAAACCAGGAAAATGGAGGACACAAAGGAAAAAGTATCAGGCTTGAAAAAACTATCAGCAGTGAAAAGTCTTAATAAGCAGGAGGGGAAAACGTCTATCAAAGATCTGAAACAGGACAAAGAGACAAATTCTCCTTCACATGATGATAATACCTATTTGGAAATCATTTATTATGCTAGAATAAAATTGTCAAACTCTGTTTAGTAGTGTTCATAAATTTAACTAACAATTTTGGCAATCAGCTCATCAGATATCAAAAAATTGAATTCAAATTAAAGTGGTCCTTTGCAAAGCTGTCTGTTATGTGTGGACACAATGTTGGTTTGTCTTTTTGGATTAAAAGGAGCTTTTTTTACGAGTGAATGATTAATCGATCAGAATTAGGTGGATTAACACACACACACACAAACACACACTCACACACACAAGAATACTTCTCTAACAGTCGACTGGTACAAAGTTGAAAATTATTGATGAATGAGCTGAAGAACAAAACATTTAAAGGACCTTCAGAGAGACTGCAGTACTATTGATTAAGAAGACCACGAAAGGTTACAATAAGTTGTTGCTTTCTGGAAGCGATGTGTAAAGAAATTTAAAATTATTTAAAGCTTTGCACAGAACTGTAAATTGATTCCTCCGAGATATTAGGTACAGATTGCTATTTCCAGAAAAGAGACACTTTTGCCTTCAAAACAGCCTAAATTCTTTGTGGCCTACAGTCAAAGGGGTGTCAGGGAAACTTTGAAAGATTTTGGTCTCTAGTGAACTTCTCCTCAACACACACGAGAAACCAGAGTGAAAACAGAAAACAGCCTTGAACTAAACTGCATGACATTTCACTAAGCAACAATGCAATTTAATGCAGATGAATAGCTGCATGTCTGGCATGAAGATATTTACTTTGCAAAAAGAGACATTTTGAGAGTAAGGGCAAAGGTCTGAGTGTGAGCTGTGACAGTTTGAAGAATTAAAACTAATCTGGCTGTTAAATTTTGGAATTCCAGTGCTGGTTAAGTAGACCAACGTAGTGACTGGAGGAAGCATTTGGATTAGACTCTTTTAGGCAGGCAAAATTGGTGTGAAAACGATTTCATTGTTTTAAAATTATAGGGGTATAACAGTAAACACAAATCAATGTTTTCTACGTACCTTTTTTTTTTTTCAGCTATTGCTTTGTATATTTTCAGTAACTTCAATCACATTTCTTTTCTCTTATTTCATTCTGATAGATTCAAGAACAATAAAGCCACTTGAAAATTGTCAGTGTTTCGGGATTTTTGAATAAGACTGAGCCAACATTTTAAAATAAAAGTTTTTCAATCACTTTAGAGTTGTTTTAATGCAGGGAATCCACTGTACAATTTGAACTCAAATACACCATAAAAAGAATTAAAAAAAAACTAAAAAAAAACAATGCAACTGGTGGGACACCTCTGACACTTGAGTGTCATATATGCTGTGTGGCATTTTGTGCTGGTTGAATGCTCCGGGCGGCTGGTTGTGGACTTTTTTCTCAAGTATCATTGATCACTTGGGGAGCGAAGTTAAGTGTAATGTTACATGACTTTGTTGCTGTCAAAAAACACCAACAACGTTTTGCTTTGGTCTACTTCTTTTTCTTCATAATCACTGTGGCTGTCTGAGTAAGCTAAATTCTCTCAAATAGCAGACTTTAGCCATAAGCGGACAATGCTTCTGTTTTGTTATGCTTTGGTAACGTTCAAAGTAGAGTGATGGATGCACTAAACAAGTATTCTGCTTATGTTCAGGTTTAAAACAAGGTTATTGTTGAGTACACAAATGAGCTGATTTGAAAGGGTTGATCTGAAAATAATTTGTTTATCATTACACCCCTGCAAAAAAGCATTATTTATAATAATCTAAAATACGGATCCTAAGGACAACCTATTCCAGTCATTCTGAGGTTCTTTCTCATTTGAAGGCAGTTGGAGATCTGAGTGGGAAAAAAAAATCTGAAGACTGGTCAGTATTTAATCTGTGCAGCTCATGCTTTGACAAACCCACCTGCAAAGAACACTCTTTCAGATAAAGCCCGGTCGTTGTTTAAACCCACAAAAGGGGGACACAGCACATATCGCAGGACAGCCGGCAGGAAACTGCCGTGTGCCCAGCAGAGATAACAACAGGGCAAACAGTTGTTGCAGAGTCCACCTGCAACAAAAGCTTGATAGATTACAAGGACAAACCTACACACAGCTCTGGAGCAAAGATTAATTGCGTTCTATTTTGGTTTTCTTTTTGTGTGGTGAGGACGTTGTTCTGACCCACATATGAAAAATGTAAAGCACATGTGTTGGTGTGGTTGTCCAGATCTCCGCTGTGATAAATGGGCCTGTAAGAAGCCTGAGGACTACCTGGATGAGTCAGCACAGATCCAGGACCTGAGAGAGGACGATAACTCTGCCAGCGAAATCACATACGGCGAGGTGGAACATCGCTTAGGTCAGCTTCAGGAGCACTTAAACAGGTACAAGTTTTTAGAGTCAGCAAAATGAAGGTCCATCCTAATTTGTCTGCCATAGTCTATGAAACTTTATTTGTTCATACAAGCATGATGTTTTTTGTTTTTTGTTTTTTTGTTGTTTTTTTTGGGGGGGGTTGTTCAACAAAGATATAGGTAGAAATCTGTGTGTATTTTTTTTTCTATTCATTCTTTTAATGAAGTGGAGGTTGCAGCTGCTGTCTTTGTTTGGACAGATATAGGACAGAAATCTCTGTGCACCTATATTTATATGTGGGGAGGCACAATAGCAAAGAGTAAGAATTAATCTAAATCAGAAAAAAAATAAGAACAAACCTAAAATAGCTAAAAGTTGTTGAAGTGCATGCACAATTTGCAAAGTTAGATGCTAAAGCTATATGTAAATAAAATTACGAATAATTGTCAGGCGATGTGAATTTACCCTCTAGAAAACAGAGACATGCTGATGCTAATGTCTAGAGATTTTCCAGTGATTAATGGTTTAGGTCAAGGTTAGAAAAACTTAATATTGCTCATTTAGCTTTACAGATTACACATAAACTTCACACATAGGATTTATGGTGATGAATTTCTAAGTACATTATGTGATGAGGCCATTATTTGAGCCCAAATAAGTGGGTTGTCTGAATTCTTGTGACTTCAATTAAAGTTTTGTATGTTTTGTACTTACATTTGGGTCTCTACTGCTTCTAGAAACAGTCAAATAAAAAAAAATAAAAAAACATTCAGATACTGCTTACAGCATCCTTGCTGGATCCACTTCTTCTGCTTCTGGGTCTGACTCAGGGTCAAAGATCTACAGTTGTTGTGCATCTGTTTGCAGCCATTTTCACATGCATAAATTGCGAGCATAAGCATTGAATTGGGAGGTGTGGCCAGCAACAGCTTATTTGCATAATGTGACAAGAGGCCATAAAACAGCTCATTCTGAACCGAGGAAGTGAAATCTTATCTGAGAATGATGTCTTGCAAAAGATGTAATTAACGTGTTTTGAATAGACTTATGGGCGATACAAAATTGAAGGAAGCATCATAATAAGTGCCCATTAACCATTTTTAAGCTCTGGGTACGGCAATGCATAAGCTAAAGGGTAGTTCGAAAAATGTTCATGTCAAATGAACAAAACTGAACTCAGACAAAACTGAACTTACCAACCTGAGTTCAGGCACGAATAAATCTGACAAGGGGTAACTAACACAATGTTAGAGATATAATTCATATCTCTAACAAAACTTGGACATGGACTCTAAATACAAACTGCTAACAACATACAAAAAGCTGCTTAAACTAAAGAATGCACATTTATGCCTCTTTAGCGTGAGCTAGCGGTGCAATCCAATAAGCCCCTTTTGTATTTAGCTGCTTTGAAACCTGGCCACCATTTTTGGTTTAGCCTTGTAGATCGCTGAACATCAGTATATAAAAGACGAACTAACCAAATGCATTGAAAGTGCGCACTTACAAACTGGACTAATTAGCAAAATAAGCATTCTTAATGGGTTAGCATGGGTGAAAATAGGCGCAAATGCACATATTCTGCTAAATGACAATTACTGACTTCTATGTTGCATGGTCACCTTGAACATAAAGCTATTTAAGAAAGATATTCAGCCGACACTGGGGGAAGAAGAAGCAGAAGCCACGTTTATGCACCTACCACTTCAAAGTTTTTTTGTTTTTTTTTCACTACTTTCCTTTAAGGATGACATAGTTCATAATATTTTTACATTGTCACCTCCCACACTGTTAAAAGGACAGAAAACGAGCATTGCATGCCCATGAGTAGGTGGAGGAAGACAACGAGCTGGCAGAATCTGTTGTAGGAATCAGAGTGGGAGGCTGGATCTACTGGAAGCAGGATATACTGCATCTCCACAGAACCACAGCATATTAAACTTGAGAATGAGTTGGAGCTAAGTCTGTGCTATTTTTAAGAGGTGTTAAATAGAACAGAGGAGAAAGAAAGTGATGACTAAGGACAAAGTCTGAAAGAGAAGTTTAAAGTAAAATCAATGGTTTTTTTTGTTGTTGTTTTTTTTTTCCAGGCTGTTTTCTATAAACAGACATTTTATTCTCACCGTTTTGTGAATGAGGAATCACGTCGTCCATAGATACTGTACCAAGCTTGCAGCCACCTGAACTTGCATGAGTTTATTTTTAGCTGGGATTGTAGCAGCGAATGTGAGAAGGTATCACGGTTCCTGAAAAGTGGGATAACTCATTTTACAGTGCACAAATAAAACATCTCATCCACTGCACTACACCTGACCTTATTTTCTCCCTAATGCACACTGGCTGCAGGATCAGCAGCACTTTTCTGTCACGTTGAGTTTTTTTTTCTGGCTTAACATGTCTGAAAGCATATGGCAGAGGAAGGAAAAGGGGTGATGTAATATTTTCTGTGAAAGCTTCTTGAAAATGCCCAATCCCCCCACCCCCTCTACCCCTCAAAATCAGTTTGTTACATAAAAGGGAATATGTTACTGCTTTTGAAATTCATTGTACCTCAGATAAAATAATTGAGTGATATCTGCTCCTAATTAGATTGACTTAACAAATATAATAAACTAATTTGCACAATAAATGGTGAACTCACACTTCCCACACAAAGCTCATTATCACTGCTTGCCGGAGCAGTATTAGTCTTCCACCATGTGTTTCCACACCTTTACATTCTCTTTCATCAGTCCTCCGGAAAACAGCATATAAGCTCCATCTACCGCTCAGTGACATGCACTGGGTGTTTTTAGCCCTCATTAGACTCAGTCAGAATTATACATTCAGCTCTTCTGGTTTTGGTAATGCTAACTCATTGTTTTGGGTCTTTTTCAGGTTGGAGTCGCACTTGATATCAGATATTCAAACCATCCTGCAGATGCTGCAGAGACAGCCGACTCTAGGACCCCCCGCCTACAGCACTGTGACAGCCAGTCCAGAATATCAAAGATCCGCTGTGAAGGTTCAGCCAGTTGCTCTGTCTGCAAGCCATTTATTCAGCCATACAGACACTCAAGTATGAAGGCTTTCTTTGTTCAGAAGTCTGAAATTTTGCTTAAGTGTTTATGTTTGAACGTTATCACATTAAGTCAAGTTGAAACTATAATCTTCTATGTTTGCGATGGAATTTTTTCTGTTATATCAAGAATCAGCAAAAGGTGAAATCCAAAAAGTGTGACATGGATTTGATTTTTTTTTTTACTCTGATACACCTCTATGAAATCAATTAGTAGTACACTTGTGTAGACAACTAACACAAGCTTTGCAGGTCACTTAATTAGTAAATAACATTTCTGTGAATAAAGTAATTTCAAGGTAATTCCTGCTTACCTATAGGCCCCAGAGTTTTGTTTGTCAATATTAGCAGATCACACAAAATGTTTGAGATGCTGAACCTATTTTCAATGTCTTCATTTTTATTCTCAGGGCCCCAGCCAAAAACTGGAGAGCACCATTCAGGAATCCAAAGACTCAGTGTCCAGCGCGGCCGCTGTGAATGCACCCATAGAGGACAGCCTTACAGCATTTTTTCAACAAAGACATGCAGATATGCATCAGCAACAACAACAACAACAACAACAAATCCCAGCACATCAACAGCCAGCGCTGATCCCTCTTCCAACTCAAACCTCATCTGCCTCCTGCTCTTCTGCGCTGCCCTCCGGCCCTGACCACACCTCAGAAAGACACCACAGACATGTCTCAGACTTTGAGGTTCCCAGGACATGAATTCTCTGCAGCACCATATGATATTATTGGAATTATTATGCTGTAATTAATAAGTAGCACTCTTTTCTTTGTTTGTTTTATCAGCATGCTGGCACAGGCATCTGCATCTTAAAGTGGCTATGTTAAAGAAAGGAGAATATATTTCATGGTGCATGTGGTGAAAATGTTCTTTTCCCCCTCTCTTTCTGTCCTTTTGGAAGAAGGAAACTAACAAGAGTTGCATATTTTGGCACTTTTTAAGAAAGATATTTAAACGTGAACTCATTTTATCCTAAAAATCCACATGAAGCCAGAAGTCTGTTTAACTAAGAGGAGACTGCTGTTATTAGACAGCAATTTTTTATTGGCATTAACAGTTGATTGTATTAGAGCAAAGACAGCTCGCCTATTTAGAGTTTTGTAAGATTTTTCCTAATATTCCACTTTAGCTTTCACAGTCAGTTCCATTAGAGTGCGACAACAGACCAGGGTCAACCAGAATGAAGAGCAACCATCTACTGAAAAACTTGGTTGGGTCACCGGTATACCAGTCTTACCACCAACACATTTATTTACCAATACAGGGAAAACCAACGTGACAATCAGAGAGCAATGTGTCACTCTGTAACATGTCTAAACAAGAAAACCTGACTGACCTACCTCACACACAATTGCTGGTCTCTCATAGAAACCAGCAACTTCTTCATTATTTCACCACGTACAAGGTTTTTCATTTACTCTGGTGTCAGTTGTTCCAAAACTTGACTCAAATCATGTCATTTTTAAAATCTTGTTTTTTGAGGAATTAATGAACATCTTTTGTGAGATTTTAGGAAAAATAGGCTCATAAAACTATCACTGACTGTTAAAATATATATATATATATATATATATATATATATATATATATATATTTTTTTTTTTTTTTTTTTATTTTTTTTTTTTTTTTTTTTGTTTTGGCAGAGGGGGGCAGGGCGGGGGACAGGGGGACACAA